CACGATTTAAATATAAACTCACCTGCACTAAGCTTAAGTATCTTGTAATGGCAGAAGCAGCAGCTCCATTACTTCTACTCACATTGATGACTTTGTATATGCACTTGTTTTATACCAGTTTTTGTATTTTGGTGCCATCAAATGAGTGGCTGCAAGTTTCCATGGTAAAGATTCTGACAGAAACCAGCATAAGTTTCAGCACTGGACTCAGATCTTCCAATCAAACTCAGAATCCCTAGGTGCCAGGGGTACAGAAGGTGGGCTGTCAGGTAAGTATATGCGTGTTTAGAATAGGTTGAGGGGGAGTTAGTTAGGAACTGCCAAGTTGGGTCTTATTAGGGGGTGGCTTTCAGATTGGAAGGTTTGGTGTCAGAGTTAGAAATGCAGGTCCCTTTAAGGTGCAGAAAGAAAGCTCTGCTGATTGCAAAGTCGATTGTGGTAGGATGCTGAATCTAGGCCAGAAGGTCCAGGTTCAAGTCCCATCTGCCCTAGATATGTGGCATGCTCACATATAGTTTACTGGCCAGCAGAGCCAGATGACTGGAGGATGGCCATGATTGCCAGGTGTGCAGGCAAATCTACAGGAAAATATAAGAATTGGCTAAAGGTCCAATATGAGGGACAAGGACTGAGGGTTGTGGATTAGCAACTGGGGATATGAAAGTGGAGAACTAGAAAACAGTTCTACTACTGATTTGGGAGATACATTTAAGTGGAAAAGGTCACATATAGTTTCTGTCAATGTCAGCAACTAAAATACACATGGACCAACTGAAGTTTTCAGTCTACTAACACACACTTTCCTTATCATGTTCATTCTCAGAACTATCTGTTTCATGACTTACTTCAAATACGTAACTGTTCAAATGTCTAGCATACGTCCTGACAGGATTAGTGCAGAGAAATCTCAACCTGGGAGGAGGCTGCAGCCAGACAAGGCAACTAGATAGTATGGGTAATGGAGAGCTTTCTCAAACAATAGATAATAGGAGAAGTCCCCAAAATTGCAAAGTGTTCGAGGATATTAGTACAATGGCAGATATGTATCATACAAAGAACTAAACTAAAGAAGTTACAGAAGTGGAAAGAATCCAAAGTCTATTAAAGCTGATGATAGTGATTAACGCGCATTGTCACACAGGTGGAGCTATACAGAAACGGCTTTCCAGATGGGACCTACAAAGCCAATGCTAGGTTGGTAACTAGAGGCTTTAAGGAAAGTTTAGGGAAAAGAGGGACTGGGGAGACTCTCCTGGTGCTGGGAAGGAAATTTTGAAATATGTTTTAACTACTTTAAAATCTTTTCATGAAGCATACCTCTATAGATATCAAAGCAGCATTCCTTCTGGGCAATCTGCTCGAGGGGAAAGTAGTCTTACAGATCCCAAAGGAAGTCCAGGAGTACAGGAAAGAAAACAAATGCCTTTATGGGTTAAATTGCTCTTCTCATGTAAGGTATTTTTCAGAAAGGGCAGCTTTGTTAACTTTAAGGTACTCATAACTGAAGGCGGACCTGATGATGTCCTAATGGCAAAGTTACGGAAAACTTCCAGCCATCTTTATGATGCAGGTAACTTTTTTTTTGTTGGGGTGCTGGGGGAGTTGAGATGGTGCACCATTGACTAAGGAAATATTATCAGTCACATTCAGAAATGTGATGGTTTGGAAATGAAGCAGGGTGAGCCAAATGTAATTCTGCAAGAATCATACTTGGACAATTCCAATTCTATTGCAATTCGTCATACTAGAAATGGACTGACAGGGAAGGCTGCTACCATGGATGACATAGAATAGCTCAGGAGTATCACTGAACAGTTGAACTGGTTCAACACACAGGCTAGACCAGATGCAAATTTTGCAGTGCTGAAGCTTAGTCTGGCCATGAAAAATCCAAAGGTGGATGATACCATGAGAGCAAATATAAATTTAACTTAAATGAAAATAGAAGTGTAGACTGAAGTGCTCAGTTTTCGGTGATCCCAATATTGTGACTTTTATCATTTTTAATGATGCTTTGCATGCAAATCTTGGTGATGGGTTTTCCAGTGCGGGAGGGTTGTGGTGTTCCTTTTGGGAGAAAATGGGAAATGTTGCCTGCTGGCATAGGAAGCAAAGAAAATAAGAACAGTGGTGAAACTCTGGCTGTCATTGATAATGTTGGTATAGCATCTATTTGTCTAAGATCTTGGGAGATGGGTTACAGGTAAAAAGGTCGGAAAGAACAATCCAAATAGAACATTCCAAAGATAATTGGTCCTTGTGATAATGTATGTTCTACAAAAAGTGTTAATGATAAAAATGCTTGATTTAGATAGAGCCAGTTTAAAGGAAAAAGGTGGAGTGGAAAGAAATCTATAGGCTTAAGAGGATGGATCCTATCATCAACAATCAGAATATTTCAATAAGAGGAAGGCCTCGACGGAAAAATTATTGAAGCTTCTAGAAGAAGGATGACTCACCATCTAACAGTGGGTATCTGATTTTGTTTTCATGGCCACATACCCTTGGAAAATTACAATTTTTTTTCTGAAGGAAAGGGAGGCTGTCAGAGCTGGATTTTCAGGCCCATTTAAGGAGCAAATAGAACAGCTCCTGAGTTGATTGACAGCAAGTAATGCTCATTGGATTTTAGTGTTTAAAAGCTGATTTCTCCCCTCTCCTTGCTACGTTCCCACCTGAGTGCCCTGAGAGAGAGGAAGTGGATACTGTATGCAGTAGAATGTCTTATTCCCCCTCCAACACCATTTTAATTTAGGACCCTCCCTCTCTCCCTACTTTTCCCTCACCTTTGTTGTTATTAAACAGCTCCTGCTGGGCTGTGTTTGTAAATTGTCCTTTTAACTCTCAACACAGGTGATTGGTTATGGTAAAAAAATGCACAAAGGTGCATAATAGCATCTCTGGATAGAAAAAAAATAAAAAGCTGAGTTCCAAGGAGTGTTACAGTGCAGTGGTAATGTCCCAATATCTCACAGAGTCAAACAGCACGGAAACAGACCCTCCGATCTAACTCATCCATGCCGACCAAGTTTCCCAAACTAAACTGGTACCATTTGCCTGTATCTGGCCCATATCCCTCTAAACCTTTCCTATTCGTGTACCTGTCCAAATTTCTTTTAAATATTGTAACTACATGTGTTTACCACTTCCTCCGGCAGTTCATTTCACACATGAACCACCCTCTGTGTGAAAAAGTTGCTCCTCAGTTTTCTTTTAAATCTTTCTCCTCTCACCTTACACCTAAGCCCTCTAGTTTTGAACTCTCTCACTCTCAGGAAAAGAGCTTTGCTATTTACCTTATCAATGTCCCTCATGATTTCACAAACCTCTATAAGGTCAGCCCTCAATCTCCTACACTCCAGTGAAAAGAGTCCCAGCTTATTCAGCCTCTCCTTAGAACTCAAACACTCCATTCCCGGCAACACCCTGGCAAATCTTTTCTAAAACCTCTCCAATTTAATAATATCCTTCCTTTAGCAGGGCAACCTGAATTGTACACATTACTTCAAAAGTGGCCTCACCAACATCCTGAATAACCGCAACGTAACATCCCGACTTCTGTACTCAGTGTTCTGAGCCATGAAGAGTGTGCTAAATGCCTTCTTAACCATCGTGTCTACCTGTGATGCAATTTTCAAAGAACTATGTACCTGAACCTCCTAGGTCTCTGTAGTATTTGACAATACTACCCAGGGCCCCACCATTACCTATACAAGTCCTGCCCTTATTTGTTTTACCAAAGTGCAGTATCTTGAATTTATCCAAATTAAACTCCATCTGCCACTCCTCAGCCCATTGGCCCAATTGATCAAAATCTGTTGGTAATCTAGATAAGCTTCTTCACCATCCACTAAACCATCAATTTTGGTGTCATCTGCAAATGTACTAACCATGCCTCCTAAATTCTCATCCAAAAAGTTCATGCCAAGTTTTGCAACGCCCCTCTCCCTTCACCCATCCCCACAAGAGGTGAACCCCTTTGTCACCTGGTGGAAGAACTAGATCACGGTGAGAATGCTGTCATTGAGAAGGGCCTCCTCCACAGTGGTGTATAGCCACTTCCCAATGATGAGGCACAGGCTGGGGATGGCGGATGTGTAATCCTGCACTTAGAAATTGTGAGGAAACTCGTTGGGGTCAGCATCCGCACGAAGGAGGCCTAAGTTCAATTCCCATTTACTTCAGAGGTGTGTTATAACACATCTGAACAGGTTTATTTAAAATTTTTTTAAAAAATGCTGAGTTATTCCCCAGTGAGTTATTGGCTTCCAAACAGGGAAGGGTTCAGGAGGGATAGGTAGAAACTAATGTTTGTGCTAAACCATAAGCACTTGTAAATCTCTGAATATGTTTTTCTGCCTAATTCAACACATGGATGTTGGTGTATGAAATAGGGTGGGGTGAGTGTGGGTTGGATAAAGAACAGGGGATGTCTGATCCAGAATGCGGGGGTGGGGGGTGGTGGTTATGGGTTGAGTGGATTTGGAGTGAACCTACTCTCATCCAGTACGTGTTCATGTAGATGTCCACTGGGGTTGGGTCTGGTGGAGTCTGTGTGAGTGACTGGGGTGTCAATGAGTGTTTGAGATGCAGTTGTACAGTTAGCCTGGAATCACAGCAGATTTTAACTTTTCCAACTTTTCCTGGCTAGCTGAAAGGCTACGTCAGTTGGAATCCTCTGAAGTCTCCAACTGTAATGCAGAGGTGGAGACTTTGTCAGAGGGTTTCAGTGCTGGGTAATTGCCCATTGAAAGTTTCAACTTCCAGGCCAATTGCTGCGTAGTGTATCAGGACTTCTACATGGTCCTGATATACATCTTGTTGGGTACATCCAGTCTCCAATTATTCAGAGACTAGAAGATCTAGACTATTGTGTCAAGTAAATTACAGAAATTTACCTCTTCATGATGAGTATTATTTTTTCCTTTAAAAGTTATGAACATTAAACGTACTAATCAGGAAGAAGTCACTTTCAATATTAGCTCCTCTATTTGTTGGTAAGTGTACATCCACTAATATTGGCAACAAGTTGATCAATACTATTGTGTGTTTTATATTTCAGTCACTGGATCTAAAAATTCTACCATCGCATAAGACATCAGTCATGGTTTTTCTAAAATGATCAAACTGCTTCATATAACTCAGACTTCCTCCTTTTAAGAAAAGGATATTGTCAGTTCAACTTCAACCACAAGTGGAGTTTTACTCCGTGCTATGAAATGCTCATCTACAGTCCTGTTATGTAGACCTCTTTGCCATCACCTGATGTTAGCACTCGTGTATGTGTACGGCTCTGCTGCAGTTCATTGATACTTTCATAATAGTTTTCTGTTTGGGCTTCATGAGCAATCTTGTGTATTTTGCCACTCTTAATAGCAAAATTAATTTTCTTCCATTTTATGTTAATTGCTTCGTAGCCTGGGTCAGGTTCTTCTTCCTCCTCCCCTTCTTCATCTCTTCCTCTTCCTCCTCCTTCATTTCTGAATTTCATTCCCCAGGTCCTTTCATTAACTGAAGCATAATCAGATTCGTCGCCCGTTATCTGATTGCCTGAGTGCCACCGTGGGCTCTTGATGGACTCATATTCTGACTCTTCTTCATTTAAATTCCCAGTTGACCAGAAATGATGATTTAATTTGCCTCCTTTTTGGAGTCCTGTATTCAGTGATAGTGCCATTTCCTTTCTGGGACCGTTTTTTACCACCTTTGAATACATTGCTGCAATCTGTAAGAGAAAATGTATATCAGGTACAGAATATTGATAGGATCGATTCCATGACGGAAATAACTTAAAACTGAAATTTGTGGAACATATCACAGGAGTTGATCAGAATTCTTCTCTGACATTTGCCCTGATCCTGGGCTTGTGATTAATGATGAACAATTGCTTAAAAGATCCTTACAAAATGTTATTTGTTCATGATTTATTGATTGTCAATGTTAAATGACAGGCTTTGACACCTCTATTAAAATAATAGAAAAAACCAGATTCCTACAAATTTGGCATGTTCACATGGCTCAATTTCAAAAGAATGATTCCTATTCTGCCAATTATGGGGAATGATAAATAATAATGATAATAACTACAGCTGAGTTATTGCATCATGATTCTTTTAAGTGAATGATACAAATTAAACAGTAAAATCAAGAAAGTAATGTTTGTATTGAGGTATAAATTCAGTATTGCAGTCCTAATTGATTTTTCATTCCAACTGGCTGACCCTTTATTCTCAGACAATGAACACTTGTTCTTAAATATCCAGCTAAGACAAATAGCCTCTTAGCATCTACCTTGTCAAGGCCTCTAAGACTTTTATACATTTCAATATGATCATCTCTCATTTATTGGAAGTCCAGCTAAAATAGTCCCCGTCTGTTCAATCTATTCTCATTGCTTCCTCAGATGCGTGGGTCATCCAATCTAATGAACCTTTGTTGCACCCCTTCCTTCAGCGAGGACACCAAACTGTACATTATATTCTAGCTGCAGTCTCACTAAGACTACCTATAACTGCAGCAAGATTTTCTAATATTCTGATCAGTTTGGATACCTTTTTCCAATCCTGATCAGACAAAAAAAACATGCATTTACTTTTATAGGAGTCCTCTGTGTGGAAATCCGGAGCAGGAGCTTTTTCAGCTGATGCAGTCCAGTCCAGTCCAGTCCAGGACAGAAATGCACGTGGCCAGCAGCAAAGTGGCTTGGTGCTGAAGCCAATCTGCCTCTTCATAATATTTTCTATTGCACTTCAGAACTTAAATGACCTTGATGCTGCTTTCGCAACCACTGAAAGTTGTAAAGGTAAGGATGGGGTAGGGTAAAGGTGTGTGGAAAGATCAAGGCATTGGGATGGAAGGTGGGTAAAGGGGTGTAGGGTGCCAGGTGGATATAAAGGTGTGGTGTCAGTTAGGGGAAGGAGATGGTGCCAGGTAAATAAATGAGTTGGGGTGGCAGGGGGTGAGCAGGTAATGTGCCAGGTAGATGAGGGGATAGGATGGCAGGAAGGAGAAGGAGTAGGTTGGTAGATTGCAGGTTATGCTCAGAGTAGTTCTGGGGTTGAGTAATATCTGGGGTTTGGGAGATTTGCAGGTTGTTGAGGCAGATCTGGTCAGGGGGAGATGGTCTTGAGAATCACGGGGAGGGTGGTTGGGTCAAGTCAGGTTGGGATGTGAGGTATTTGAGTTTGTGGTCTGGAGGCAGGTTGAGTCTGGTGAGGTGATAGGGGTATTGCCGGTTGTCTGTGGTGTGTCTGAGGGTGGGGATGAAGTGGGAAGGAGTTGGGGGAAGGCAGGTTCTCAGGTCTGGTGACCGGGGAAGTTTCAGTCTGGCGGAATAGCCAGGAGTCAGGTCTAGCAGGGTGGGTATCGGGTCATGTGAGGTGGGTGAGAGACGGGAAGGAGTGGTCAAAGATTTTTCAGTCTGCGGGTGGGAGAAATGGCTTCCCTTGGGGTAGGCCAAAATTGAAGGTGGGAATCAATGATGAGTGGGGGTCAATGTAACAGTTACCCAGAAGTTGGAACAGGTTTTAATTCCTCTAATGTTTCCTTAGTAACTACTTAAATTAAGGCAGTCAGAACCCTCTGAAGTCTAGGAGTTTAAGGAGTTTATCAGAGACCTTCAAACACTGGGTAATTACCCTCGGCAGTTTCAACTTAAGGGTTCTTCCTCCAGTGTAAGCTGCATCAGGATGTTCACATGGTCCTGATGCTCAAAATTCATGTTTATGCTTCTGCGATGACTATCTTCCCATTGGAAGATTTGGGTTACAACTGAGTAACTATGATAAAGGCTAACATGCCACTTACCTTCCCAATTGTTTGCTGCAACTGCATTTTGACTTTGTGATTTTGTACAAATACCCTTAAATCCTTCTGCATAAACCAACAGAAGTATTTGGGTGTTTATTGTTTAACAGTTGAAAACACATGTAATTGTCACATGCATCACATCAGGTCTGGAATGTTGGCCTCTGGGAAGCTTGAACCTGTTGCCCTAAAAGTAACTAATTAATGCTTTTTGGACTTGCCATGTGACCAAATAAATTACACCTTTGTTGATGTAATCCTTCTTATCAATATCGGTGGTTTAGATATCAATTAAAGTGCAACTGTTAGAAAAACATTACAATGGTGCTGTACATGCGTTGGTTTATTAGTGCATACTGGTCAATTTATTAAATGGGATTTCACCAAAATAATGAAGTTTGGATTCGTTCTTGTTGAAGGTAGTTATATAACGTAATTCTCTACCATACATTGTTATTGAAGCAGATTCCATTAATTCAATTAAAAGATAGATCATTGCTTGAAAAAGAGGAATACTAGAAGGGTGACAGCATGAGAGTAAAACCATCTGCAGAGTGGTATTGGCTTATTCATTCTGTGACATTTTCTAATGTTTAACCAATTAAATTATTACGTTTGAGTTTGCACTTTTATTTTGGTCTTTGGACTCTTCACTTAATATAATCATTTTTAATGAAAAACAGAATTGTGGTTTGAAACATTATTTGGATAGATCTCCTGCAAATACTGTCACACTCCCAAGGACCCCATTTCTTATTCATCAGAAAACATGATTTCAACTTCTTAAAAAAGAAAACTTAGAAGCGTTTTCTCTAAGTTCCACGTAACCAGACCAACAGTGTCAGTAAATTAACATTAGTAAATTAATAACTACAAAATAAAGCACAGAATTCTGAGTGAAATCTGATGACCATCCAACTTCCCTAAGATTTTGTTCTAAACCTCCTGGGTCCAGAGAACGAATTTGAAAGGTTACTTTGAATGAGATATTTTTGGATGTTTATCTGACAGATTTAGTTCTTAGGACATCCAGGGACAGCTTGTCCTGAATCATTGCTTCGGTAGAACTTAACAAGTTTATGTGACAACAGATGCAATATTTGCTGCATCATGAACTTTTGCAAATACATATTTGGATAGCCCATGTTACTGTTTTTAATACTGTCTGTGATAATATCAGTAAGAATGTTAACTCAGCTCTGCATTGCAGCTGTGGTTTCATATAATTGATTACAAACCTCATCTCTTGGATTTGCATAGTATCTACTACATGGTTGTAATTAGCCAATTGACTGCAATTAGAGATTGGCAAGAAAGTGTATTTGAAGAAATCTCGTGGACGGAAAAGGTTTTCCACAAAGGCCTTCGAGTACCTTGTATTGATGAACTTTCTTCTTCAATTTGAGCCAAAATACCTTGCATGTGAGAGTGGAGTAAGAAATGGACTGAGGCATGTTGGGGGACAAAAAATGACTTGGAAAGACTTTTGAAAATGAAGAGGAAGTTTTTCAGAGGCAGTTCTAGACAGTGGATAATGACTACATGATTAGACTCTTCTGCTGCAGGAGATGTGGCAGGGCAAAAGAACCTGAATTAATTTTGATGAACTCAACAGTTAACTGACATGTGCAGATCAGCCACACATTTTACATATATTCTGGTTTTATTTTTTATTGTTAGTATTTTTATTTTTAAAAAAAATTTTACCTTCTAAATGATTGATCATATATTATGACTTTTAAAAATTTACATGGTTCTCTGTCACAGTGGCAGGGGATCCTCAGAACAAATAAATAGTCGCTGGTGACAACACTACTAAAGTGGAAATGGTTAGAAATTATTCTATTGGCAACAGAAAGACTGGGAAAAAATACTGTTAAGTTAATGTAGTAAGCTACAGGTGTACTTTCAGTAGAACATCTAGTCAACAGCTATTAATTATTGGGTGAACAAGTTCGGCAACTATCCATCCCAGAAGTCATTGCATATGCACTAAAGCAGTTAAACAGCACATGATAGTTGAAACCCACACAACATTAACTTTTGAAGCCTCCCTGTTAGCTCATTTTAACTTCTGTACACAGTACATTTCCCCCAATTTGGACTGTTTTTAAGCTACGTCTTCCTAGTTCATCATTAAAAGCAATTTCTGATTGGTGTGCAGAATCAATGCTCATCTACTCCAACTGACAACAGTCGTCAGAATGATTAGGTCTTTAAATGATGGCATTAAATGGTATAATCTAGTACAATAAACAATCTAACAGTCTGGAAATCAATAGTAGTATTAAATTGGCACCCTTTTTGGTTTGTTTCAATCTTTGATGCTTCATTACATTTCTTATCTAGTCCCAAAACTGTATTACTGCATACAAAAGCAGAGGGAAACCTCTTTACCATTGCATGCCTAAGACAAAAACGTAAAATCAAAATCACTTGACATGCAATTTTTTTTTTAGTGAGAATGCAGAGCTTGTTACACTCAGTAAAGTAAAACTTAACAACTTTGTCATAGTTTTTATTTGGTTTGTGATGAATTCAATTTAACTATTAGACTGAAAGACAATGACTTTGACCCTACAGAGACTGAACCAAAAGCTTCAGTCGCTAACATTGTATTAGAAATAATAAACGTTATCCTACTGAGAATTAGTTGTATATATAATTAACTCTTGGTTGGCAGTGTTGGCTCAGTGATAGCATTTTTATCTTTCAGCCAGAAGGTGATGGGTTTAAGCCTTACTCAAGACAATTGGTCACATAACCTAAGCTGACACTCCAATAAGGTTCCAAGAGAGTGCTTCACTGCCAAAGATAATGCTGAAATGTTAAACTGAGGTCCTAGCTGCCCTTTCAAATGCAATATGAAAGACTGAATGGCATGATTTGAAGGAGTGCAGGTAGAAGTCTGGTTGGTGATGTGACAATCAGTCAACATCACTAAAACTGAAGAAGGGTCACTGGACTCAAATGTTAACTCTGCTTTCTGTCCACAAATGCTGCTACACCTGCCGAAATTCTTCACCAATTTCTGTTTTTTTCACTAAAACTGATTATTGGTCATTATCTCTTTGGTGTTTGGGAGCTTACTGTGTGTAGTTTTGGCTGCTGCATTTCCTACATCACAACAATGAATTTCCTTCAAAAGTACAGACTTTACTTTAAAGCAGTTTAGGATGTTCCAATGTCAAGAAAAGTACTTTATAAATGTAAGTTAGTTATTTCTTTCCCGCATAGAAAAGGGAGCAACCACATTTGGCTAATTGACTACCTTTGTGTAGGAATAGGCATATAGAAATGCATTTATATAGCATTTTAACATGACCACCAAATGTCTCAAAGCACTTCACAGCCAGTGCAGTGCGTCTGAAGTAGTCACTCTTATAATAATGGAAACTAACATTAAATACCACGATGTGGATCTGACAGATACATGTCCAATAACAGTGCACTTGTCAGTAAGATTTAGAGCACCTATATTAAGCAGGGAAGTAAATTAACCAATTTCCACACCTCTTATCAAGACTATATGCTAAGCATCAATTCAGAAAACAAAGCTCCCGACACCAAAGTTTTTGCAAAAACTACATTGCCAAATCTAATAACTTTTCTCAAACACAGTTATCTCCAGTGGCTTGGGCATATTCCAAAGGAGCACTTATGTAAAGAATTTGCAGATTTAGACTTAGATTTAAAGATATTTGCAAGGGGCACCTAATAGCATTGAACACCAACTAAAATTAAAATGATTTTTGTTCCTCAAGAAATGAAGAAGAAAATTCTCCCTTAAAGGCTTCATGCATCTATAATGTCACTTCCCTGTACAGCTATAGGATCTATCAAGCTGTCCCATTCCTGTGGCTCTTTGTCAAAATTAAAGAATAGCCGCATTAAGTAGTTGAAGGAAGTTTTAATAAAGCAATATGGGAAAGAATGGGGTTAGAACTCCGACTGATGTGGAAGATAAACACCAATAAAGATGGGTTTGATTGAATTTCTCATTCTGGTGTTGTCACTTGTATGTAAATCTATGTAGATCAAATTGCTGGCTAAACAACTGAAAATTTAACATTTTGAATATGGTAATTTATATCTGAAAGAAATTATTCTTCAAACACATTTTAGAAAATAGGATATATATGCAGGAATGAACATAAAATATGATGCTGCAGTATCTTGGATAGTTGATATTCATTTGGTCGAACAGAGCTCTAAAAAGACACAATTAATGAAGCTTCACCTTGCACTCAACTGGACTATTTGGAAAAATTACCAAAATAAAGGGAAAACAACATTTACGCTGTATGGGAGGAGAATACTGATTAGTAAGCAAAAGGACTGTTACTGGTAAAGGTGTTGCCATGGAGAATGCACCAATGAATGCAAATTGCCAAGTTTTGTTTAACTTTAAACCAGACAAGTTGATTTTGATTGGTTAAGACATTGCCCTGAAAAATTATCTAGAGAATGGATGGCACCTATTTTGTTAAGGTGAAGCAAGTGTAGTGTATGTACATGCTCTTGTCAACAAAGAATGGGACCTTAAATATTAATTGCAGTAGCTTCCAGTATAGACAAGTATGCCACAATGCAAGTCCAACTGACAGTCATAACTGGGTTGTCAGCGTCATCTGTTGCACATTCAGGATTATTTATCAAATGTCATCTGTTGCACACTCAGGATTATTTATCAAATGTTGTCCAATTATGGAATCATATCTAATTTGGACACTGTGTCATGAGTTTTGCAGGCTGATTGGGTAGATTCAGTATCTTGCTTGTTACAAACACTTGAAGGGATATGCTGTTTGATATAATTTGCCGGTCTTTGGGTTGTATGACCTACATTCCTGGCATCACATTGGCACTGAAATTCATATACCATTGTGAACGCCATTAGCTAGTGCATTATCCATGCCTATGCTTCTACCAATCAGAGTCCAATTGCCAACCAATCAGCACTCTCCTGCCATACAGAATAACTGTTATTTTCCCTTTATCTGGGCATGTCTTGTGAATTATCCTGATGAGTGCAGGATGAAAAGATTTGATTTATTTGATATTACTAACAGAATCAAGCTGATTACAATCTGTTTACTTTTCATTTATGCCAGAGGAATACTTAAATTCATAAATTCCCATACTCTGCTGTTTGAATGGAGGAAGCAGTTAATATAAGCTACAAGTATTGATATCTCCATAAAACCAACAAGAAACAGGAATCTGTCATGCAGCATTTGACTGATAACACTAATAGGTAACACTTATTCTGCCCGTATGTCACTTGCAAGTTTTGTTCTTTAACTGATAATTTAATAGTCTATGTGACAATTGTGCTTTCATTTCTGGCCTAGAATGACTGAAAAATGAAAATGGAATGTTATCTTGTAACAATCAATCAGTCTGTTCCTGTTAATTCAAAACTTCTCCAAACTCCAAAGCTTAAAAGCTTTGCTGATACTGTCGTAAAGGTACAAGAGTGATTGCTGTAGAAAACACAGCTGACACACATTTTGTTCTGGGATCTTGGCAGAATTACCATAGCATTGTTAGGACTTTGAAATAAATTCACAATTTATATTTGAAGCCCAATACACCACTTGGACATTTTTTAAACTTGACTTACGCTATATTGGCATTAAAAATCAAGTTTCTGGAACAGATTTCTTGGCTTCAATGTCTTCAGTTCAAATAGTTTTGTCTCCAGAGATAGCCCACTATTTAAGTGGCTGTGTGAAAGTAGCAGTCTACGCATATTCTAAGAATGGGAAATTTGCTTTTCTTCTTGCTTGTGACATGAATGAATCAGAGGTGGAACAATAACATTAAATTTTATGACCTTGAAAAGTTACCCTTTGAACTCTAATTCAAAACACCATTGTTAAAAAGAATTATCCATTAGATCTAATTAAGCTTGTCTAGTATTCTGATGGAGAGAAAACCTGTAGTAATCTTAATATATATATGTATTTATGATACATTGTTAACACAAAATTATAGCAAATCAAATCCTAGAATGGGATTGCGGAGTTTTATTGTGTAGTAAGCTTATGAAGGAGTTGGGATAGATCAAAACAAAAATAAACACCTTTCATTTGCCTTAGGACATCACAAAGCTCTACAATGAATGAAGTACTACTTGAAATGTAGTAATTATTGTAATGTAGGATGTGTGTCATCAATTTGCTTATAGCAAATCCCCATGATTGACAATAAAATAAACGTTCATGTCATTTGTTTTGCTACTGATGATTGGGCCACAGAAAGTAGGGCAGAAGTTCAGCCCATCACCTTCCCACCCACTCCCGCGATATTGAGGATAGATGGGAGCTAAAACTGGCAGTTTACCCAACATATGAAAATAAATAATTAAGGATTGAATGAGCTTGTTGAAAGCTCAATTGACCCTAGTATTACATCAAAAGGTCTGGAGCTCATGACATGTTTGAACAGGTTGATTAAAAATAATTACCTACCCATTCCATAATGTTGTTGAGGTAGGTAGGCAGGTAGGTGGGAGGGCTTTGTTTTACAAGCTTTTAAAAAACGCATGGGAAAGAAGCTGGTGGGGTAGGGGTCATAGAGAAATATCATCTTCAAGGAGAGCCTTTTGCACATTGTGTGTACACCCCTAGAAAGTAGCACCCCTCCCATCCTTTCTCCCCACACAGAATTTGAAACCCCTCCTTCTTCCTTGCTTGTCCCTCTCTCTAAGGTCACCTAATACTCCCTGCCCAATGCCCTCAACTTACCTGTGTTAGGGGATGCACTGGACCGCATCTTTGGGATTGTCTGCCGTTCTGGCAGCACCCACGACAGAGCTCTGGGGCTGCCAAGACTGCTGGAGCTGCCATACAATCTGATTGCTGGCACTTTGTCCCTCTGTCAACTTCTGCCCAAAGCCCCTAGCAAGTGGCCTGAAGCCATACCTTTAGACTTAGAGGCCAGTATGCAACCACACATAAATATGGCAAGTAAACAATTAGAGAGGTAAAAACAAAAACAATATGCAGACTCAAGTTATAAATGAATATAGATAGGTCATAAGCAAACTTACAACTCTGTCAATAAATGTAGTTAAATAGCTAAATGTATAAATAAATTGACAGATTCATAGATTGGGAAGTTACAAACCTCTTCATCTGTGAGTGAGTGGAGTTGTTCATGCGATTTATTGAAGCTGTAACCTTTTCCCTGTAATTTGTAAAATATTTCTATAAGTACAGTACAACAGAACATTTTAACAGAATTCACTGCTTCAAAACATGCTTTATAGTTAGCTACAATTTACAAAGAGTTGAATTTAACTGTATAACCTACTTCAGAATTGATGACATTTATACTGTTATATCCCGTACCATGCGCTGGTGCTTGAATTTTGTCTGTATAATCAGCTTTTGAAAAGTTATTCATTCACAGCATGTGGTTTTCACTGGCTAGGCCAGCATTTATTGCTTGTCCCTAATTGCCAAGACGGCAGTTATAGGTCCAACTGCATTGCTGTGGATCTGGAGTCACCTGAAGGCCAGACCAGGTAAGGATGACAGATTTCCTTCCCTAAAGGACATTCATGAACCAGATGAGTTTTTATGTGAATTGACAGTTATGTGATCGCCGTTATGCTAGTTCTGTATTCCAGATTTTATTGAAAACAAATTTCACCATATGCCATGGAGGGATTCAAACCCATATTCCCAGAATATTGACCTCGGATTCTGGATTACTAATCCAGCGATATTACCACTATGTTATTGTTTGCCTGTAACAAAATAAAAGTCTGTATAAGAATCTATTTGAGAACTGCAAACAGGCAACACAATATTTATAGCAGTCAGGAAAGTGTGATAATCTTAGCCCAGCTTAGTGTTGCAGAGCTGGTCACTCATGCCCACTGGCAAGTCCTGAAATTCAATTTAGAAGTGATTTAGTACTTTGTACTTTGTTCTGATAGACTTCATCAGGCTGTAGGAAATAAGGACAAATCTTCATATTAACTGAAGGCACCTTTTAAAAAAAGAAATAAACCAGCAAGTTTGGTGGGAGGTCATGGAAGAGGTCAATGTTTCCTCTGTCACTGAGAGGACCCGGCATTAATATGATGGAAAGAGTCAGACCTAAACAAACCTCTAAGAAAAAAACTACAGATCAATTTGCCATGCTAACATAGCTGTCCCAAGCACATGTTATAGTGTTTCTCAATAATCTGTTATTTCTTTCCTTCTACTCCATTTGGAGCATTTAACCATGTTGAATGCTCAACATGCAAGGTCATATCATCACTGCACAAATATGATCTGCAGTTGATATCTAAAATGATCATAAAACTGAAATCTTAAAGAACCATTCACACAGCATATCCTTTTAATATAGACAGAAAAAAATCCCCTTGCTAACATAAAGGATAGACTGAAGATTGGGAACATGTTTTCAGGAACACGGAAAAGTACAGCACATAAGGTAATCATTTGGCACATCAAGTGTGTGCCAACCCTTCTGAAGAACAATCCTCTTAGTCCTGTTCCCCTACTCTTGCCTTGTATCCCTGTAATGTTTTTCTCTTTCATGTAAGCAAGTCATTAGAAAAGCAAACGGAACATTAGAAAACTTGTAATTAGGAAGGCAAATCAAAGGTTGACCTTTATTGGAAAAGGCCTGGAGCATAAAAGTAAGGAATTATTTTTTACAACTATACTGAGCATTGGTGAGATCATACCTAGAGCCCAAATAGTCTTCTGGTCTCCTTTGGAAGAAATTTCTTAAAGGTTCCCTGGTTTGATTTTCTAGGTTGAAGGTTGTACAGTTAGGGCCTATATTTATTTGAATTTAGAAGATGAAAATAATCCTCTTAAAATTAAGATTCTGAGGGTCTTGACCAGGTAGATGCTGAGTGGAAATAAAAAAAAACTACGGATGCTGTAAATCAGAAACAAAAACAGAAATTTCTGGAAAAAAAACTCAACAGATCTGGCAGCATCTGTGGAGAGAAAGCAGAGTTAAGTTTCAAGTCTAGTAAACCTTGTTCAGAACAGTTCTGGTTTTCCGGCAGTTTCTGTAGATGCTGAAATGATGTTTCCCACGTGAGGAAATCTAGAACTGAGTGTGCACCTGTTTCACAATAATGGGGCTCTCATTTGAGTTGGAGATGAGAAAGAACTTCTCTCAGAGGGCAATCAATCTTGAAATTCTCTATCCCAATGGAGGCTGCATCTTTGAATATATTTAAGGTTGAGTCAGACAATTCTTACAAGACAATCGAGGTTATTGGGGGCTGACAAGTAAGTGGAATTGATGCCACAATCAAACAGCCATGATAGTATTGAACAGAAAGCAGGCTCAAAGGTTTGAGTGGTCTATTCCTGCTCCTACTTCTTATGTTCTTATCTTGTTAAGTATTCTGACCCCAAGGAAGTTCTTTTTATTAAAAAAAACTGCTTAGACATGTCATGAAGCACCTCCTGGGCAGGGAGAACTTGAACTTAGACCTTCTGGAACTCTACCAATCCACCATGAAACCCCTTTCAAAAAGGTTTATGTTAATTTTCACTTTTGGAATATTAATTACTGTAATCTCATCCCATCTACCTTTGTGTCCTGTCTTAGGTCAACAACGGTAATATTTCCTTACGTGGTTCAGTGTCATATTGTGATTCATAATGCTTCTGTGAAGGACATTTGATCACATTAAAGGTGCCATAAAAAATTGAAGTTCTTGTTGTTATAACAGGGTAGCAATCTTGCTATCTCCCCATTAGAGCATTTTACCATTTCTTAAATGAGTGCAGGGTTCTGGCCTCAATTGCGCTTCTTGGCAATATTTTCCAGCTGTTAAATCTGTCTCTGTCCAAAGAAATAGCCCCTTGACATCGGTCCTAAATCTGCTTTTCCCAAGCCTGATCTTATCTGAGCCTTTGAGTGTAATTCTCCTTTTGACACTTAAACCTGTCAAAGTATTCAAAGAGCTAAATAGTAAACCATGGAAAGGGCGTTAATCTCATAAAATATTCATGACCTAAAATGGTGAAGAACAGCACTAAGTTACAAAGCGTTTTTTGTTTATTCAGAACGACAGAGCAGGAGCTTGGTCGGTTAATCCTTGCTGGACAAGCAGTGTGGGTCTTACTAGTGATCTGTCCTGGTAAGTGTTATAACTGCCAGCTGCCTTAATGCTACATTCCTACTCTGGGGATTTCCTCAGACATGTTGCTGCCATCTGCACCTAATTTTGGTAGATTTGAGTCCAGTGACTTGTGTTATGGACCAGACCAGACCCCCTCAAGATACATTAAGAGGATATCCTAGTCTCTAACTTTTTCTTATTTTAAAGGCAAGTGCCAAACGTTTCATTTCGGATGCAATTCAGTTGGTCAGACTACCAGGTTTGAAGGAAAAACCACTTTATCCATACACTATAGTTAAAATACAACAAAAGAAAGAACACATTGGAATAACAACTCTATTGGAAAACTTAACAGAATAATAGATTATTTAACTACTAAACAGTAACTGTTCCAATGTACTGACATCTCATAAACACACCCTTGGCAAAAAGCAAGTTCAGTAAAATAGATTGTCTCACAGTCAGGTCCAGGAGGAAAAAAAAAATCGAGAACAATCTGTGTGTGTGTGTGTGTGTGTGTGTGTGTGTGTGTGTGTGTGTGTGTGTGTGTGTGTGTGAGAGAGAGAGAGAGAGAGGCAGACTGGCAGGGGGAGATATACTACAGTTTGCACCCAGCTTTAAGACTGCTGCTACTGAAAACTAAAAACTAAAACGCCTGGTTCTGTGGGAGCTTGCCCTACCCATTCAGGCTGCTTCTATTATTCCTATTTTTTTAAAAAAACAAGGCTTCACAAGCTTTATTGGCTTTCAATCTACAGCTTGGTACCTCTGCCTTAAAACTTCTCTTCAAAAACAAGGACAATACACATCACTTAAAACCATAATATTGTCACTCAAGCTAAGTGAGTGGGATTTTTCAATTGCTTAAGTTGGTAACTCTTAAACAGAGTTATGGCTTGTACAATCATTGTAAGTCTGGCTGGCTAAACAAAACTGCTGGTAGGTAGTTACAGATCGATTAATCTGAATGTTAAGAAAAAATTGAAACCGCAAACTGCAACAGGTTCCATCCCTCATACTTACTGAATTTAGTCTGGAAATCTGCTGCAACTGTTCTGGTGCTTTAGAATGAGGAATGAATTACAATGCTTTTCTCAACAGTGTACAATCTACAATACAGGATTTGTGGATTTTTTAAACATTCTTGGGATATGGGCATAACTGGTAAGGCCAGCATTTAATGTCCATTCCTTAATGTTCATAGAAGAATCACAGAATCCCTACAGTGTGGAAACAGGCCCTTCGGCCCAACAAGTCCACACCGACCCTGAGAGCATCCCACCCAGACCCATTCCCCTATAACCCACCTAATTTACATACCCCTGAACACTATGGACAATTTAGCATGGCCAATCCACCTAGCCTGCACATCTTTGGACTGTGGAAGGAATCTGGAGCACCCGGAGGTACTCCACGCAGACATGGGGAGAATGTGCAAACTCCATACAGACAGTCGCCCGAGGCTGGAATTGAACCCAGGTCCCTGGTGCTGTGAGGCAGCAGTGCTAACCACTGAACCACCGTGTCACCATGTTCTTGAGAAGGTGGTAATGATCTTCCCTCTTGAACTGCTGTAGTCCTTGGGGTATTGGTACACCCATAGTCAGTGCTTGGTATTTGAAAGTACCTGGTTAGATAAGAACATTATCAGTATTGTGCTGCATGACTGATTGCCCAAACTATAATTTTCAAAATGAGACGTGTGCAGATGGACAGCTCCACCTACTCATTTAATGGAAATGTCTATTTCACAAAATCCCTACAATGTTGGTAGAGGCCATTTGGCTCAATGTGTTTGCGCTGACTCCAAACAGAGGCCAAACCATTCACACATTCAACTTTAGGAATACATTCAAATCTTGTGCCTTCGAATTATGTGGAAGTTCTGGAAGCATATAATTTATCTTTCTCATTATTCAATGCCTTGGACAATCAGAGTTGACTTATCAACTAATCAATACCCTTTTCTTCTGTAGTATAAATTGTTATGATTGTTAGAAATTTGGTACTTGTGCATTAGCCCTGATGAGTGCAAAATAAAAAGCTCCAGCAATGTGTGTCTCTTTTTGGTAATAAT